ACGAAGAGAGGAAGCAACATCGGTATGTTAATAGGGAAAAAAGCTTCGGAAGCAGCACCTCCCTTACTTCCCATCAAAGCCTCTACAGAGAGGAGAAGTTGCATCAACTCAGGGACGGTAGAACGAGGTTTACTCAGAGCAAGGAACCGAATTCCTGGAAAAAAAGCCCCACTGGGAAGAAATCATATGAATGCCTTGAATGTGGGAAGAGCTTCCGCTCTGTAAGTGACCTCGCTTGCCATAACAGGACCCATACAGGGGAAAAACCATTTCAATGCATGGAGTGTGGAAAGAGCTTCAGGAAAAAAGATCATCTTAAGTCACACGAGAGGATCCACACGGGAGAGAAGCCGTATAAATGCACTGAGTGTGGGAAATGCTTCAGAACCTCCTTTGAGCTTACCTCCCATAAGAGGATCCATACAGGGGAGAAACCCTATGAATGCCTGGAGTGTGGAAAAAGCTTTAGCCAACGCAGCACTCTAACCTTACATAATAGGATGCATAAAGGGGAGAAACCTTATAAATGCCTGCACTGTGGAAAAAGCTTTAGTCAAAAAAGTTATCTTAAGTCACACGAGAGGATCCACACGGGAGAAAACCCCTATAAGTGCACGGAGTGTGGCCTGTCTTTCAGGACAAGTGGTTGTCTTGGTAGCCACAAGAGGATCCACACCGGGGAGAAACCGTACACATGTCATGAGTGCGGAAAAAGCTTTAGACATAATAATTCACTCAAGAGCCATAGCAGGCTTCACTCAGGGGAGAGACCTTATAAATGCCTGGAGTGTGGGAAATGTTACAGTGAGAGTGGCCAGCTTACCTCGCACAATAGGATCCACACAGGAGAGAAACCATTTAAATGCATCGAGTGTGGAAAGAGTTTCAAAGACGGCAGGAATCTTAGGCTCCATAAAAGAATCCACACAGGGGAGAAGCCGTATCAGTGTGTGGAATGTGGAAAGAAATTCAGAACTGGGAGTCTTTTTAATCGCCATAAGAAGATGCACAGCATGAAAAAATGATGTGAATTTGTTGTGCTAGTGTAGAGTAGAATAAGATTACAAACAATAACAATAGAAATGGAATAGGATATAGAAATAGAAAAAGGAAGGGAATTCTCTCATGGCCAAGTGTGATTGGAGATACAAGGCATGTGTCTCTAATGCATACATTCTCAAGTGTACATAACATACAACAAATGATCAACTTTTGTCAACGCGAACAGCAAAGAGAGGGAAGGATTTGGGAACTAACACATCCGGTTGTCTATGGAGATTCTCAGTCATCCAGGCTGCGCTTCTCCCAAATGTACTTTTATCAAAAGGCAACTGGACCTCTTTATTTCCTTGAGGAGATTTCCCTTCTTACCCAAGAAGTGTCTTCAGTTCTCTTTCTTCTTGAATGAGAAGCAAAATGTCTTCAAGGAGAAACAAAGTCCAGTTGTCTTTTGAAAAAAAGAAAGCACCTTTGGGAGAACACCTTCAGACAGCATAAGGCTGCAGAAAGCTGGCTTGGAGTCTAGAGAAGATGCTGAAAGATTTCAAGAGGAAACATTGCAATCTAAGTGGTGAGGTCCAGACCTGGCGGTGTTGACTCCCTATATTTCCCTAATGTTGGAAGGAATCAAGCAGTGGATCTACTACACCCCTGTGGAGAAAGTCTGTATCTGCACCACCTTTAACCTTGGTTGTGTTTAACTGATTTCTAGTCTGAGATACAATATTGATTGTGTTTGATTTTTATGAATGCCCTAAATTATGAAGCGGCTTAAGGCTTAGCTTACACATCTCAGATACAGGCTCTTTTTGATGGGTAGATTGGACAATTTAGGGAACCAGCTTCAGAAAATACAGGTGGCCCTTGACTTATGACCACAATTAAGCCCCAAAATTTCCATGGCTAAGCAAGACAGTTGTTAAGTGAGTTTTGTGCCATTTTACCAGTTTTGCCACAGTTGTTGGTTTCCCCATTGTCTTTCCTTGTCTGAAGGTCTGAAACAGGGATCCCATGACCCCGGGATACTCCAAATATCAAAAATACAGGCCAGTTGCCAAGTCTCTCAATTTTTATCACATGACACAGGGATGCTGCAACGGTTGTGTGGAAAAATTCATAAATCATGTTTTTCAGTGCCGTTGTAACTTCTAACATTCACTGAAGAAATTTATTGTAAGTTGAGGACTAATTGTAAAGCAGCCATTGATTATTTCTTATTAAGGCAGTGAAGGAGTATATAAATCAAACTAATATTGGCTATTTGCTTTGATCATGAATTGCTTATGCTACTATATAAAATTGTTCCTGATTAAACCAGTATTTGCTTCTGATACGATATACTGCTAGAAATCATTTGTTATGAATTGAGCTTTGTTATTGGCTCCTGCTTATATTATCGTACCCTGTCAGAAATTAATTGTAAGGAATTAATTCTAGTGTCAACTCAAAAACATTTCTCTGGTCTTTTAGAGTGGACAGCAGAAAGGGAGTGGGGGAAGTAGTGCATTCCTAAAATGCTTTCATAGATTAATAGCTAGGCCACAGAAGCTTCTGGCACGCAAGATTATTACTGAAGAGCATGATTGATGACTCTTGGCTTTGGGTGCGTCCCATTGGAGGATATACATCCAAGGGGTGAGGGGGGCAGATCCAGGTCAAGGGTGAAATGAATGATGTGTCTCAGACTCAGCTGCGTCCAGGTAACACCGGCATGTTCACCCCTAATAAATCTTGGTGGTGTTTTTTTTCTTCCCCTTAGAGATGCGGCTAGAGACTCATGATTTGAATGGGGGCGGATGCCGGAGTCCTGACATCTAGCTGAGTAAATTGTAGCCTTGATACTAGTTAGGATTAATTGTAGCCTTGATGCAAAATTTCTTATCTTGCTTCGCTTCTGTCCTTGGCTTCAAAGCTAGCCACATCCTTGAAAATAGAGAAGAAACTGTTGTTACCCAGGAATATCAGGAACCCGAATAGGGAGTTTCCTGCCTCATAGATTCTGAATCCTGAAACCATTTTCTGCTGAATAAACAACTTGGCCAGGGAGGGAAACCTCCCCTATAGGAACGCTCCATAGATAAGGCGGGCAGAGACAGGGACGTGAACAAAGGACGCTTTAAAGACCACATTGTCTCTCATTGGGTAAGCTTTGATTCTAACGGGGTTATAATGTGTATAATACTCTGAGCCACCCTTGCAGGGTGTGGCTATTCCTTACATGCATTTTGACTGTATTTTGTTTTGGATATAGTTTTGTCACACAGCTTTTCCTTTGGCCATAAATAAAAGCTGATATTTTTTGCAAACCCTCGTCTCACGTCTCACTCTCTTTGGCATCTCAGTGGCTCTGGGAAACTTCTGGGACCTTACAGCAGAATCATGAATGTTAAGAAAGTTTTGTTTCAGTCTAACTGGCCACTGTCAGTTCACTGAAACCCACCTTGGAAAACATAAGGAAGGAATTTCTACACATCAAATAGGTCAGGGCCTAGACTAGGGGGTCTCCAAACCTGGCGATTTAAAAGCTTGTGGACTTCAACTCCCAGAATTCCTCTGGCACATATGTTGCCATACTGGTGGGGCAATTCTAGGAGTTGAAGTTGCCAAGTTTGGAGACCCTTGGCCTAGACTTGTAGAATTATGGTCTGTTGTTATTTATAGTGCCTTCCTGCTGTAAAGTATTTCAACGTCCAGCACATGGGAAATGGAGAAAAGAATTATGGTCCATATTTCCTTGTTCTTCCAAAAAAGGATTACAAGCATTATGAGACTCCAGAATCTTCTAAATAAAAAGTTAAAAATTCAAAATGTACTATAGAAGAAGGCAAAAGGCCCAAATAGGAGAGATTTGAACATCTCGAAAAAGAAGTAGACTGTAAATAGGAAATATCATGGAAAGCTATGCTATATTACTACGAAAGTGACATTTACAAATCCATTGAGGTTTCTCTATGCGCATATTAGGATAGATTTAAATTGCTTGGTTGAGCTCTGTGTTACATATATCGGTATGCAGGAAGGCTAAGATGTGAGTGTAAAACAGGTAGGAATTGCTGTAAAGGGAGATAAGAAAATTCCTTCTGACTTGTAAACTGGGTGGAAAATGCTGTGTAAAGCCCTCCACTGAGTGTTGGTGGGGTACAAAGGCTTTGAGGGAGATTTCCTTGTGTTACTTTTTCAGTGGAATAAAGTTTTTCCTTACAATCTTGTCTTCAACGTGTTCAATTTGAGGCTGGGCACAACTGGCAAAGTGCCTGGAGCAGGAAAGGTGAGGAAAACCAAAAGTGCCTTTGAGTTCAGAAGGATCTCTTTCCTCCTTTCAGCCATTTTGGAAGCACAATTCTTGAGGGGGAAGTTGTTCAGCAAATCTGGCTCCCCTGTTTCTTGTCCGAAGGTTGCAAAAGACGATCCCATGACCCAGGGACAGTGCAACCGTCATAAATACGAGTCGGTTGCCAAACGGCTGAATTTTGACCACGTGACCATGGGGATGCTGCCATTGGCCTTCTTGAGTGGGAAAAAGCATCCTAAATCACTTTCTTTGATGCCCTTTGGAACTTCGAACTAAACAGACGGTTCTGAGTCCAGGACTGCTTGCAAAGGAGCAATAGAGTATTTGCTGTAAAGGGAGAAGCCTGATTGTTTATCATTCTATGGAAATACGTTGTAAGTTGAGGACTCCCCTGTCAGAATTAAACGCATGCAGACAGACTCCCTTTTCCTGACAAAAGGAGGAGTTTTGAAGGAGGAGATTGGACAACCGTTTGCCTGTGATGGTACTACAGAGTTTCCAACCTGAACAGGGGGTTGGACTAGAAGACCTCCCAGGCCTCCTCCCAGCCCTGTTATTCTGTAATTCCCTCCTAAATTTGTTGCTCCGCATCCCCTTCCCTCCTCCCGTCCCTGGGCGTCGTCCCCTCCCTCTTCCCCCGTTTCTCTGACCGCCCTGGGAGAAGCAGCCCTGGACTCCCTGCCCAGCTGACCCTCCCAATGGGGACCGCTTCCCCCGGGGCAGAAGGCGGACAGGTAGGCAGGGGAAGTCCCGAATGAGCGGCGCCTTCGGCCCTTTCGACAATGGGAGGAGCTGGACGGAGATGGGAGGGAACTGTAAACGTTTCCTGCTTGGGTTCTGCGAAGTCCTGGCCGGGGCTCTCCCGAGAAGGGGGATCCACGGGCGGGGGCAGGGAGGGAGGGAGGGAGGGAGCGTGGCCGGCGGGGCTGCGAGGAAAGCGGATCGTGGATCTGTTCCTGCGCGCATCTCTTGAGGAGCGGAGTCCGGATGAAGAACAGAGCCGCCTGTTTCCTTTTGAGCGCCACGTAAGAACCTTCTTCCTTCCTTCCTTCCTTTCTCCCTTCCTCTCTCCCTCCTTCCTCCCCTTTTCCCACCTGGGGAAATGCCTGGACAGGTGAGCCTTCCAGGCAGCGTCTGGGGGCGCCCCTAAGATCGCTCCTGCCGCCCCCACTTTCTCCTGGGGGAGATGATTCTGCCGGCCCTTCCCGATCGTTTCCCGGCACTTTCTCTCCCCCCTCTGGGGCTGTTTCAGTCCGGGAGGCTCCGGGTTGAATGGCTGCTAAAGCGGCCGGAGGGAAAGGGGGCGATCCCTCCCGGGAGCTGCTGTTTTTTGAAGAGAGCATCGGACAAAGGCGCCTTCCGATGCCCTTTAATAGAATAGAATAGAATTCTTTATCGGCCAAGTGTGATTGAACACACAAAAGATTTGTCTTGGTGCAAATACTGTATACATAAAAGAAAAGATACATTCTGTTGGGTATATGGATACACCAACTGGTTTGGGTGAATGAATATATAAAACCTAGGTTTAAGTGTTTGCAGCTTTAAGCTCAAAACTGCAATGTCATTGCATAATTATGGGTGCGGTTGTAAGCTGCAATAAGAGGCAGTGAGAGAGACGTAACACTTCCTGGTTTCGAGTCCCTGGTCTTCCTGGTCTGATTCCTGGTTCCTGGTGTTACTGGTCTCTGGTCTGTCTGCTGTCTGTCTGCCTACTACTGTTTACTCCTGTATGAGATGTCTACTGTGCAAGATACCTCTCTCTACTGAACTAAAGGACTGTGTTTACTTGGTGAGCTGTTCATACTCAGCATTGTCTTTGAGTGAAAGGTATCGGAAGAAGAAGATTTACAAGCAGATAAAGACATTGTATTTACTGTTTATAGACTAGGTAACTGGATGGATAAACTGGATACTGACATATGGACTGAATGACTCTTCTTAATCTCTGTGTGAATTAAATATCTATTTAAAACCACAAACAGTGTTTTTGTCTCAGTGTGTGTATACTCTTGGGCCCAGCCTCTCTCTCTCATTTGGCTGCCTGGCTTGACTGCTGCTGTGCACTCTGCTTGGGGGTTTGTCCCCAAACACTAAGACATTCGTCCAGAATCATAAGATACAACACTTAGTGATAGTCAAAGGGTACAATAAGCAATCAAATCATACTAGGAAACAGTATAAATCGTAAGGAGGCAAGCGACAAAGTTACAGTCATACAGGGAGGGGATGGGTGATAAGAAGTGATGAGAAGATTCACAGTAATAGTAGCGCAGACTCCTCAGGATTGTCTTTGCCCGAGTTTCTTCCATTCCTGAA